AGCGTGGAAATTGATTCTGTGGCCACCGAGAGTGAGTGAACTGGGGGAGAATGTGAAGGCAGCCCTGCAGAGCTGCCGCCTCTAGGGTCCTGAGGAAGGGGGAGCGCTTTCAGCTCTGCCAAGCAATTGCTTTTCTTCCTTTCCCAAAGGTGGGGTGTGAACCTAATCTCGCCTCCCTCTGTGCCTGGAAAATATATATAGGTGGAATGGGACAGAGCTCTGTGCATTCGAGGATGACAACATCCAACCCTTTGAAACAGGTCACACTTTGAATGTAGCATCTCCAACCTCTTGCTCAATTGCTGCCAGTGTTGGCCAGTCTACCCAAAGCATGACAGCTTTCTATGTATTCCTATAGGTCTAGGAGGTGTATATTTCTCTGTATCTTTATGAATGTTTTAGATGACTGATGGACATCCCATCCCCAGTCCCCACCTTGTTCTTAGAGTAAGGAAATCGTAGGGAGCTTCCTAATCTGACTATTGATCAGGATCTGGGAACAGTTTGTACAACCTGTGAAGGTTATTTAGGACAAACTCCCAGTCTGCCAGTTCAAGTTCTGTGCAAGGCTGTTCCCCCGAAATTGCCCGGTTGTGCTGTCTTCATCGTGTATTTGGGTTTTGAGCCTTAACGTCTGGGGGAAAGGCAGCGTGCTCATCATTAACTCTTCAGTAGGGATACCTGGCTGGTTTCAGTCCTCGGGTAATTTCTCATTTCCCTGATCTGTGTCTTTCTTACCCTGGGTGTTAATCCTTGAAAACTTTTTTTTTTTAAATTTAGGAGTTATTTGTAAGTAAAAATGAGAGAAATCCCGTATGCCATTCCTTACTCTGCTTTGGAAAAAATTGGCTAGAAGATCAACTGGGAGACAGGGAGAAGGAAAGGAGGGAGTCTGCCAGGAACCAGAATGGCAGTGGAACCAGTAACTTGCCGCTTCTCTCTCTGTTGGCTGAAGCATCATTTCTGAGAATGCTTTTCTCGGGAGATGTTCAGAGGCTCCTCTCCACAAATCTAGCCTGAGTTTTGTGAAGGGATAAAGGATGGGCAAGTGTAGGTGTGAACATTTGCAGTGGATTGAAAATATATGTGTCTGTTCTGAAAATCCCAGATTTTTAAATCGTTTCTCTCGATACAGCTGATAGGAATAATGGAGTATGGGTGTACTTCTCAACCTCCTCTATGGGGAGGGTGGGTGTGTGTGTGGGAGCATGCACACGGGGGAGGAGGGGGATAGAATGGGGAGGTATCTCATGTTCTTTTTCAATTGGTTTCCTTGTGATCCGTTCGGAGGTGTTTTTTTTTAAAGCCCAAGGTAATTATTTGTATCCCTCCATACTCCTTTCCTACCTTCTGTAGAAGAGAATGGCAGACTGTTTAATAAGTAATGATTATTGACAGGGCTCTCAGCCCCAAGGAAAAAGGGGAGGGGTCTGTTAATGGTGTCAGTGTTCACATAGACATATAAGCAGTATTTGTTTTATGCGCATCTGAAGTCCTGGTCTTTTTCTTTTTTAAACCTTTAATAAGAAGTCAAATTAAGGGATAAAATGCAAGTATGCAAATCCAGCAGAAACTGACCTGGTTTGCATATATCAACAAGGGAAATTTGAATGAAAGGGAGATTATGTAGTTTCCATAAAAGATGAGTTTAAATACATAGGTTGTATGGTAATTTAAAGAAAAAAGTATAGTTTAATTATTTTTTGGTCCAAGGTTGCAGGATGATTAACAAACTGAAATAAAGATTTCATTTGAGGGATTTTCACCACTGCTTCTGTGGGCTGAAGAATGGCCTATCTGGTATTCACATTTTTCACTTCTTTCGATTATGTTACTAAAGTTCCCAGGAGAGAAACGCCTCTTTGGCCTAGCTCCTACTCCAGGGTCCAGCAGGCTTTTTCCTTTTCTTTTGTCTTTCTTTTCTTTTTTTAAATGAAAGCCATGGACTGGATTGTAGCACCTATGAACAGGAAAGGTGATGCTCTGCTTTTTTAAAAAACTAACCAATGCTTAATGGCCAGGGTCTTTGCTCTTGACTTGACCACCTTGAGGCTTATAGAATGGATGTCTTTGTGTTCATCTGAGGTCAGTCAGAAGGATTCTCTGCATAAAGGCAGCACAGCTCTTTGGAGTAGAAGAGGCTGGCTCACTCCAGAATAAACTTGCTGGTGGATAATAGGATTTTTGCAAGCAGAAGCTATTTTGCTATGTGCAAGGCCCAGTTTAGAAATTGTTTCTCATGTTCTGAAGGATCAGAGATAAGGAAATGTTGAACCTGAAAGGCAGAGGGAGAAGAAGGGTTTGGAAATGGATTCTTCTCATCTCCCCACCTTTAGACCATGAGCTGAACCAAAACTTTCCGCTGCTACTGGGATCTCTTGGGTTCCCAGTTAGTTGCCCAGGATTTGCCTTTCCTTTAGACATCTTAGAAAGAAGTATCATAAACATGTTGCCACTAGTGGATTATTTTACCAAAGACATCTTTGAAGCATTTTGCATCTGAAAGTTTAGATTAGTTTACAAATTTTTTCAAGCCAAGGAGAGTTCACTACAGATAGTAGAGAAACAGTGATTTTGACTGGTGTGATTTTTACATCACATTGGGTTGTGTTTTCAGACTTGAAACATCCATGTAGAATGTTGTCAATGCAAATGTGAATTGTTATTTTACTCAGCAAAATGCACGGATAGGTAAATGATCAGAGCCATTGGTGAAATTCAGCTACAAAAGACAAAGAGCCAGTTTTAATGGGTGATACTTTTGGAAGGTACATAGTTAATTCCGATGAGTAAGATGGATCACAAATCTTGAATGGTGTACTTAGTGAAGAAGTGGATGTAAAATATATCATTGATGTGTAAATATGATATTGAGATCATTTTAATATAACCAAGTCTGTTTAAATAAAACTTTACCTCAACATGTTTTGTAATGTTGAAGAGAGCCACAGATAACATGGACTGTTTTCCTCTCTCTTCCTTTTAAACATCTCTAGTCTTTCAATAAGAGTATTCTTGGTTGCTTTTATAAGCAGCCTGAGATATAATTTGTTTTAATAAACGTACTCTAATACATTGTCTTCTGTCTACATGAATCGGGCCCTCGAAGGAATTTCAACATAGAAGGTACTGACCCCAATCATGCGTGGTAGCCAGAGTGAGAGGATTCAGAGCTCAAGATCAATATTTCTTATGAAATCCAATTGAGAGCTTTTTTTATGAGCACATGCTGCAACCTGAGTCTGTTTTGATTTCCTTTGGCCTTAATACAGGATTATGAGACTTCTCTGCTTTAATCAATCTTACTGTACATTGTACTCTTTAGACACTTATGTTGTACTTTATGGTCCAAATGGAAGAAAAGGGGGCGTGGTGGGGACAGAATTGACAAGGCTGTTTTTAGGTTGGTCTCAGCACCTTATGACTGTGGTTTAAGCCTTCCTTTTCAATGCCTCATGGCTGAGATAAGGGGTTGGCAGTGCTGTTGCTAATTGAGTGCCCTTTCTGCAGGTCTGATGTCTGAATCCAGCCACCTTTGTATTTCCCTGCTCGCCTTTTTAAACGCTCAGCGTTGACCCATAAACTTGTCAGAAAGAAAGAGAAACAAGCACGCTAACAAACATAGCTGGTTTGTGGCAACCTCTCTCTGATACTGAAGAAAACAGCGTTTCTCAATCCAGTCTGTACCATAAGCAAGAGTGCTGGTGCAGGATCTGAACCCAGGGCCATCCTGGGCGGTCTCGTGTGTAGAGGAACAAGGTCTCTCTTCCCTCTGGGATGCTCTCCCTCTCCCACCCCTTCCTCCTCTCCACACCACAGTGAGGAGAAGGCTGATTTTCCCGTTGCTTATTTTGTAGGTCTTTCCTTATCCCCTCTCAGATCCAGTGCCAAACAGATCTCAATTTTCTATCTGGGATGTGGAAAATGGAACATGAAACTTGGCCCTGAAATATACAAGAGCAAGGGAAGAGCCATACATCTCAGTCTGCAAAATGCATTTGAATTGCTTATGAATAGGACTGAAATTCATGCTTCTCCCTTTGAATCTGTTTTTATCTTCAGACTTTTGTGTTTGGTGAGGCACAGCGCGGGTACTGCGTTGACACATTCCACTGAGACCTTGTGAGGTCCCAGGGATTTTGCTTGTCTACAGGCAGGAAGGTTTCCTAGAGGGTGTACCGCATATGGTGAAGGCAGGAGGGAGGAGTGGACTCACTTAAACCTTTG